CTTTATTTCAGAACATGCCCAACAATCCGGCATATGTCCCCCACTTTAATGTTCCTTCGGTAACCCTCGTTCACTCAATGATATATGATGTACTTGCAAATGATTTGTCGTTACATACAGTAGGTAACTATGTGACCTGATCTACTGTTATACTTTTGCAATTTGCGGGCACACGGTGTACTTTAGAACAACTAGTACTTCTACTCATTTTTGAAATCGGCTGCGTAGTATGTTCATCGCAATGCTCCATCTTCAAGGAGGTTTCAGCCAATTACTTTATATTTTTCAAGGCATTTACCTTCACGAATTCCAATAAAGCAAGAAGAAACAACGTTTTAGAATTGCCGAATTCAGCAATGTCGCGTATTCTCCTCAACTGTTTACATACAATAAGTGGGATACACAGGCTACATAGCAGACAATCAAAGTGCGATTTTAACGGCAACATATTCAAAGCGGTCGAAGGCCCTGAGGCTCACATGACTCGTTCCTAGAAAAAAGCAATCACTAACCTCACCAAGGACTGGTTATGGGGTCACGAAATCCGTTTGCTTGCACAGATTTGCTTTCAACCGCCGAATTACTGTCTCCTCCGCAAACTGAAGTAAGCGAGGAGTAGCTTATTTGCTAAATACCCTGAAATTGCCACGTTGGTTTTGGCATTCATAGCAGTCAAGTTTGTGGCGGGCAATAGAGCTAGTCGGTAGCTTCGGTCCCTTAGCGATCATGCTTCGCGGAACATGCTCTGCAATCTTCGCTGACAATCTTCTCTCAGTTCTGCATATGTACATGCTACCGCAAGTAAAGTTTAAGAGGTAAATGCATGAGGTGGTAATTTGAGAATCCGGTCTGTCCAGGTTGGATTTACAAAGCAACCTTCTGACTTGATGCAATATCACTAGCTCAGCCGCGTAATAGCACTTCTTAATAGATTGACAGAGGCGTTGCCGGCATCCTCTGACAACTTGATCTCCTTTGAACGTCAATGTAATGAATACCTTTTCTTTGGGACATCGGTTGGTCGTTTATCTTTGGATTGTATTTTCGCTTGCCGTGCTATGAGTCGCTATGAATCGCTAT